TCCTCTCTTGTCCTCACTTTATAGTATAAGTTAATATTATTCCTTTCATTTTCAATTTTTTCTCTCCACTCTCTTTCACTCCGATCCGTCTTTCTCATAGACACGCGTAGCTCTTTCATGTTGCGCTCTATTTCTAAAAGTCGTAATTTATTTTCTATCGCCTCTTCTTTTTCCTTCTGGATACGTTGTTTCTCCACTTTAATTGCCTTCTCAGCCTCTTCGAACATTGCATTGGTGTAGTAACTTCCTCCATTCCTTTCAACAATTTTCGTAATCTTCTGGAGCAGCTCAGTGACCTGAGCTTTCTTATCTTTGAGCTCATTGTTGAAAACATGATATTGGTCATTACATCTGGACACTAGCTCCTGTAAGCCTTGACTTTTAGAGATAAAATCCTCAATGGTGCCTTTAAGGTTGTCTCCATGGGTAAAGAGAACCATGCTGTATCTGTCTGCAGCCTTTCCAAAGATTTCTTGGATCAGTTGCACCGCTTTTGTTTCCTCTTTTGTGAATCTGCCCACTGCCACAATCACCAGAAAGATATGTGGTCCAGGGGCAGCAAAAGAGATGCACCGAGCCAGGGATTTGTCTACTTCGTCTTCATTCCTGGTGTCAAACAGACCAGGAGTATCAATGACAGCAACCTGTCGTCCATCTATCTCGCTGTAAATCACAGAGCAACGGCGAGTAACTGATTCTGGACTGCAGTCTGTGTCAAAGCACTCTCGACCCAGAATGGTGTTTCCAGAACTACTCTTCCCACTTCCAGTCTTCCCCACCATCACAATCCTGAGGTCATCATTTTTTGTAAAGTTTGATCCTGTGAGGAAGGATTCAATTTGAATTAGAATCAAAATTCAGAATAATAAAGAACTTGAGCTTCTGATTATAAAAAGAAGAGGTTGTAAACAGAGGCATTGAGGGAGCAATTGTAAATAATTGGGATAGCTGCATATACATTTAAATTCAGTATCAATGTTGAAACAGTAGTGCATCTAACAGTTACAGCATTGCAGCTTTTAAAAGTTGAATTTCACATTTCACATGCTGATCTAGGCTTAGACTTCCTTACAACGTATCAATGTCACAATATTATGATTGGTATTAAACCTTTTGGTCTCCACAAGCTTCTTGCAATTCTTATGACCCATTTCTCCCACCATAACTTTTGTAGATGAGTGAGGTTTATTGGTCAGTGAACACACCTCTGTCTCCTGCCGACTCATTCATTGGAGTCATTGGACACAATTATCTAATTAATGCTGCGTAATCTTGATACACAAATACACCACCTGGTTTACAACCAAAAAAGTCTTCCCAATAATACTCTGTGGCCTCATTACATCCATCTACACAAATGAATGTCTTGTTTTTGGAAAATACATAAGGATAAGGGGAATTATGCTTATATTCGCCATATCAGTAATTAAGAGGAAAGAGAACAGGACAAACTTGATTCTCTCACATTTAGAAAGATTATATATCTCTTTCCAAAGAAGGGACTTTGATGCTTAGCCACACCCACAGGCTTTGATGTAGAAAAATTCCTTTGATAACTTCTGATCCCCAATGCCTAAAGTCATGGTGGAGTTAGTTTGAAGTCTATACCTCAAAAGCTCTAGGCGGAGTTCGCTCAGATAGGTCATGAAGGTAAAAAAGGAAAAGTGATGGCTTTGATTCAAAATAGCCGATTTCCTGTGGGGGTTGGACCTTTGGGTTTGTAGGTCCTGATGGGTTACACATTTGTACCAAATTTCATAACTCTAAGTAAAAAATGACTTGGGGCTTACGTTTTGGCAAACAGACCACTGTCCAAAGAAGATCCACAAAACTATAATAAAAATTGTCATGATCTTGGCACTGATTGCTAGCCTAATTGCTAATTTCATTCACCTGCCTAACTCTGCCAAGTTTCAAATTTATCCAATCCACCTGCTCCAGTTTCTATATGTATATGGCTCAGTCCCAGATATCGGGACAGATTATTGATGTTGATGCTCTAGTTCATGAATTGATCTCAGGGGCCAGTGGAGAGAGGGTTTTTAGCAGTTTCATAGAGCTTCTGATTTCCTGATCTGCCTCTTATCCACAGATCGCGCCTTTTCCTGTCTTGTCTTAGTGGAAAGAGTATTTATTTTTACCATTCCGTAGTGTTCCTGATATCCTGACCTGTTCTGCATGCCACTTACCGTGCCTGCCAGTTCCCATCAGAATCTGTCTGTTCCCATCTGAACATTCTGCCTAAGCTGTCTGTAGAACCTGGAACCTTGAACCAACCTGTTTCTGTCCTCATCGGTATCCCTCACTGGGCTCCAGACTCCTGGCCCTCTGAGCCTTCCTGTTCTGATTTGTTTCCCTGATCTGGCTCGGTTCTTGCTTGTTATCCAGAGCTGCAGCATTTGGGACACTCTTGGTGGTACCCACCTCATCTCCTTGGCAGCCAACCGGCTGGATCCTACCTTACTCTATGAAGATGGACGGAACTCATAAACTAGTTAAGTGATGGATAATCATCCTAAGTCCGATTATCATGGTCACTTGACAGTGTTTTTTTCCCCAGATTTTTCCATAAGGGGACGTGAACAGCCACAGCTGCTGCAGATCCACAGATCCGCCTAAGAAATAAATAAATGCCTTGAATCATCTCACTGTCTGTCTCACCTTGAATACTGGGTCCTTCCACCCTGCTTCTGACGAAAAATCCTTAACTTTATATAAAAAGGCCTTTTATACATTCCAACTCCTGATGAAGGAAAATTTTAAGATTTTTAGTATCAATAATATTCAAAACGGTTCTTTTAGACAACATGGTCACTCTTTTTCTGTTTACTCATAAAATGTAGCTTTTGGCTGCGTTGTGTTATATATGACTGTTGGAACAAATGCATCCGTGCACCCAAACTGTGAGTGTCTGTTTGCTTCATACATATCCCTGCTGCAGTCTGAGGGCCTTTGAGCAGTTACGAAGAATTACACAATACCAAACTTTCAATCTTTACTTTTTTTTTCTTCAAATTTATTGGTAGTTGGACAGAATTGCCGAAAGTCTATCAAAGCAACTGATTAACACATTTAGAGCATTTCTTTCCTTTCTCATTTCAGACAGACTGACTGTTTGCGACCATGTCTGGGAACAAAAGAAATGAGTAAAAAAAGAATTCTCAGCTGTATTATGTCAAAATTAAACAACTAAGTTAAGTAAAGGTGAAGGTTTTGGGTGAGAGTTCTGCATTAATTTAAAGACAGTCATAAGATAATAATGTCAAAACTATGTGAAACTATATCTCAGAAATGAAAATGATGGCAATAAAGCCTGAAGGTAAATCCATAATAAAATTAAAGAAGGCTACCAGTGGAAGATTATCTGTTAACAAGTTTTTGGTTGAAGCATATGAAGCATGAGATTAGAATTAATGTGTAGTAATCCAAAGCTTACCAGAGTTGTTGGCCTCATATGATCCGTCCTTGTACCTGAACATGATCAGTCAGATAGAGCGACGAACACACTCGAGCTGCAATAAAGTATCTGCCTTTTATAGAGTCTCCTTATGAAAGTAAAACTGAAGCTCTTATTCACCTTTGCTACTATTGCTTGTAGAAATATTATGTTGCAGCAAGAAGGTCCTGTGTTCAATAATGGGCCCAGGGTCTTTCTGCATGAAAATTACATGCTCTCCCATCCATGCTTCATTTCCCATCATGCTTCAGGTGTCCAGTGAAGAAATTTCTTCTGTGCAGGAAAAAAGAAAACAAGCTCACATTCATAAGAAAATTGAGGATTAGATGAATAGATGGGAAAATATTTGTCCCACCACTTTGTATAAATAAAGTTAGGACTCCAGGCTCATATACCTTTTCAGTACAGCAGCTGTCCTAAGAAATGTTTCCACCTTAATATCAATTGTCTGCTCTGGTATTTGGAAATTAACAAGTGGTATTTTTTCCAATAAGATAACACATTTTTGCACAGTACTATTTGGATATGTAACCAGCTCACAAAGGCCTTACAGCTTTGTTAATATTATTGCTATTACTAATATAAATGTTATTGTTATTTTTAAGGATTAGTTTCAAACAGCACTATTAGCACTGTGTTCAAAAGTTGTCAATCAAGCGTTAATATGGGAATAAGTCAGTGCTGTAAAGTCAGTTCTGTTCTATTTATATATATTTTTTTCTATTTATAGGATAGAACTATGTTATAAAATAACCTAATATATAGTAACTTATCTGTAAAGGTGAGTTACATACATGATAATAAAAAAGAAATACTAGTGTTTGACTTTGATCTTGTTCTTCAAAATCCCCCTATATTTATATCCAGCTTGGTTTTCCCCTTGCTATCACTTTCTT